AAAGCCACCTGGAAAGAAACATTAGTGATTTTATGCATTATTACATTTATTATATTTGCTATTCATTTAGCCCAGTTCTATCTTTGTGCTCTACAACGCCCAACTCTAAAAGAAGCTTTTCCAGGAAAGGAAAAAATGTGACTCATGTCTCATGAATATTGACAGTCACAGCCTAAAGAGGCTCAGATACTCTGACTTAAACCTTCCCAATCAAAACACCCAGCCAGTCACAACTTTGCTATGCAAATATTATGCTGTATACTGTGTTGCGCTGGCCTTTCTTGGATCAAGAACAACTTAAAGAAATAGGAAATTAGAGAACTGTGCATCACAGAAGAATTGTGTTGATGTTGCACTTCTTCATTTCACCTGCCGGGCCTACTACAGAGTTGCTCAAGAAGTCACTATTCATCATAGGACATTTGTTCTCTGGAGGGAATGGAGGTCCCCTATCTAATTTTGTCAACCAGTGAGGAGGAAATAAAGAATTCACTTTCTATTACGCAGCCACGTGACAACCTTCAGGAATCTAATGTGTAAGGATGCGGTCTCTTTTCCATTTCTTTCACATTGAAAATGAGAGACAGTCCTTCACATACTGTTTCCTCCCCTCAACTATTGTTCAGTGGTGTAAAGTCATTGAATACCAATAATCTATATGCATTAAAAAGTCAAGTAAACTCAATGTAATTAAGAGATCTGATGTTCTGCTACTACAACTGTGTTTCTTCCATAGGTCTTCTACAAAAATTCTTTTGTAAGGCAGTCTACCTGTGCTCATGCATTTTTTCCTGAATAAAGAATAGTTGTAATTTGTTAGTAAACAAGATAGACATGCTCCCTGCCTTCATGGAGCACGCAGACTAGTGGTCAGGAAGAAGAGGGTTTATGGTAAGGAGTACAGAAAAAAACCTGCTCACCTCTGAACCCAGAAGGATATGGGGCACATTTTCTTAAGCACAAAATAAAGCTTTGGGCTGCACTTGTTCCTAATACAATCCTTTAGTAAAGGTAATGTGGTCTTATTTAAAATCTTTCTTGGCAAAGGAGAAACAGCAGGTTTATCTACAGTAGGGAAAATCCACAATCTTTAAATCAAGATATCAAAGAAAATGATAAGAAATTGTATTTTTAAAATAGAATAAACCATTATATATATAATATATATATTGTTTGATCAAGAATACAGCATATATTACATATAATATATATCATATATATTATTTGATCAAGAATACAGCATATTTGGCACATCAGGTGAAACTAATGAGTATGTAAAGAATTTTTTTCTAAAAACAAATGATTTTCCTTTTTCTTTATATCATGAACATCTCTACATTTCAAGTAAAAAGACAGCAAAAATAAGAAGAAAATTGGTAGAACACATCACTATGGGAAAGACGACTATGTCTTTAAGCTCAAAGCAATTTTGGTTTCAGAGAATGCGAAGAATACCAACGACAGCTTAATATGCTCAGTTAAACAGAATTAGATAATTTGAGTTGTTAGATTTTTCCATCTCCTAAAATTCCTCTCTGTAGTCCTTTATAGATGCACAAAGCATTTCTCTTTATTCATTATTTGTCTTTAATAACATATTCTTCTTGTGACAAATTGAATTTTTTCTTAGGCCAAAATATAGTCAAAATATATCTTTTCTAATAAGGATCATTTTAAGACATTATGAATGAATATATTTTGTGCTTTAGACTAGATTAGCCTTTTCAATTCAGGGAAATAATTTAGAATTTTAAAAATCACTTATTTTTTTCCTCTGGAAGTCATTTATTTCAAATGAATTTTGCAAAACTTGTCTTTCTGATTTGACAGAATAAAGATCACAAAGAAATGGTATTTGTCATTCATATAATGCAGCCCAAGAAAGTGAAAATTGAAAAAATCATAACACTGGTTCTCAAAATTACAGGGAAAAAGAAATTGATACAATACCTCCACAAAAATACTTGTCCCATGCTAAATTATTTTGGTTCACTACTGTTGATTTAAGAATTACTCAAGAAAAAAATAACTTTAAAAGTTGTTTATCTGTTTGCTAGCCATTATTCTGTCTTCTTTGGAAAAGTTTCTGTTCATTTCCATTGCCCATTTCTTGATGGGGTTGTTTGAATTTTGGATGAAATCTTTTGAGTTCTAGATAGATTCTTGTTGTCAGACCTTTATCGGAAGTGTAGAGAGCAAATATTTTCTCCCATTCTGTAGGTTGTCTCTTTGCTCTAATGATAGTTTCTTTAGCTGAGCAGAAGCTTTTTAGTTTGATCAGATCCCACTTGTTTATTTTTGTTGCTGCGGTGATTGCTTTGAGAGTCTTCTTCAAAAATTCTTTGCCTAGGCCAATGGTACTGACTGATGATTATCATTATGGTGCTCAAAGGGTGGTGGTGTTCACCAGAGATTCGGGAAGGTGGGGGGATAGACCCGCGTATGAGGGATGAGGCGAACAGTGTGGAGGGGAAAGGCATTTTTAGAGCCTTTGCTATTTGAAGGCTCTAAGTAAAGGCAAAGTTATAAAATCTAACCAAAATGTTATAAAAAAATCAACAGAAAACATTTATTGGGGTTGGGGAGGAGGGGATGGGTTTATATATATACATTATAAGTGCATTGTGCATTGTTGGGGGCATGGACACGCTTGAAGTTTTGACTCAAGGGAGGAGGGAAGGTAATAGCAATTGTATGTAACCTTAACATTTGTACCCACATATTACGCTGAAATTAAAAAAAAATAGTTGTTTATCTGATTTACTTTCTGAATTCACATATAAATTTATAATAGCCTTTTAAAACTGATATCTTATGAAAAGCGTGATCCTATGAATTTTAATGGCCATGTTTATATTTTAAAATGTTTTCAAGAGTATTATTTATAGTTACAGTTAAGATATTATTTTAATAAATCCAAAAACATATATATACACAGGGGTCTGTTTGAAAAGTGAAATCCATATCCTGGAAGGGGATCCAGAGAAATAATCATGGGTAGTACATTTAGTGCTTAAATTGTTACAGTATCACATGCATTTTATGTGCTTTATCTCAAGTAATCCTTACAAGAACCCCAAAAGGTAACAATATCGTTATTGTCCCCTTTACAGATGAGAAAACTGACGATTGGAGAAGTGGTTACCTTGGCCAAAGTCACACAGTTAGTAAATAGCAGTGCTGGACTCCAGATCTCCCTGACTCCAAGTCTCCTGCTCTTAACCCCTACCTAGACTGTTCTCCAGATCTGTTCATAGAAAACTCTCTGCCTCCAGAAATCCTCTACAACTCTTTTCTCTGCACTTTGTGCGGAATGAAATGCCCTTATAGCTGTCTGTTATGGGAAAAAGAAAATGAGGAGAGCTAAGTGGCAGATAAAAAATATATATATGTCTGTCTAGTCATAAGGTAGCTTTGCCTTAAAATTCCTTACTCGCTTCTTTCCTCGTGAAGTCGCCTCAAAACGTCTCCCAGGCCTTCTGAAATGAAACACCTCCAAAAAGATCTATTAAGGGTTGAATCAAAATAGATATGTTGAAGTCCTAACCCCCAGTACCTGTAAACAACAAGCGAACACAACCTTATTTGGAACTAGGATATTCGAAGATGTAATCAAGTAAAGATAAGATCATTAGGGTTGGCAGTAATGCGACATGACAGGTGTCCTTATGAGAAGAGGGGAATTTGGACAGAGACACACAGAGGAGAAGGTAGGGGAAGACACAGACACAGAGAAAATGGCCATGTGAAGACAGAGGCAGAGATTAAAGTTATGCTGCCACAAACCAAGGAACAAGTGAGGTTGCCAGAAGCTGGAAGAGACAGGGAAGAATCCTCCCCTGGAAGACCTGCAGAATGTACAGCCCTCTCAACACCTTGCTTTAGGGCTTCTAACCTCCAGAACTGCAAGAGAATGTTTTAACCCAGCCCGTGTGTGGCCGTTTGTTACATCAGCCCCAGAAAACTAATACAAACTCTAAGGAAGAAAACGATGGGACAGTGTGTGCCTGCAACATTCTTTTTTCCCCTATTAGGGCTGAGATTTACTTTTCACTGGTTAACTCAGCCGCTTTTGATTGAGGTTAACTTTATCTCAAGCTCTTGCAGCTGAAGAATATGCTTATATTACGCATGTGTTATATATAACCCAAGTTCACTTGAAGAAAAACATTAGTTGTATTGAGGAACTCATTGAGGAGACTTTACATATCACCTTAGGTCTGCCTAGTAGATAAACTTTGATGAATTTAGCCACAAACAAAGAAGAGAAACAGGGAAATGGCCAAGTGCTTGCAACAGAGTAATGTCATCCCTCCCTGCTCCCTTCCTCCCAGCATTTTCAGCAATTCCAGCCCTGGTTCAGCAATGTTAAATTATTCCTTTGTCAAAAGATTGGGTTATCCTGTCGCTTGACAGCTAATTTCATTAAATTACTATGATCCAAACTTAAAGCTCTCCAGAAGAGACGGATCTCCCGTGGAGATCAATCTACCGGAGGTGCAGCTGAAGTCAATCATTCAGACATCACACCACCAGCCACGGTCGCTCATACAAATTCTCTGTTCTCGCCTCTCAGCACTCAGATAAGAGGATAGAAGTTTGAGTTGGCAACGAAGGAAATTTATGCAGAACAATTTACCTCTTTGTACTTTTTATATTTTACGTGCATTGTTTCATTTAGTTCAACAGGGCAACGTTATTGTTTCAGTTTTGCAAATGTGGAAACTGAGGCACAGAACTAAGTGATTTGCCCAAGGGATCAATATTTGTTAATGCCAGGCTGAGTAATAGATGTCAGGCATTCTGAATTCTATTCCAGTACATTTTCCTGCTATTGAGTCTCATGCACATATTAGTAGTCTTTATCTAACTCCTCAAGAAATACAAATATTCATGGATAACATATATTCTGAAATGTTTTATTTTGGGGGAAAAAGAGGGTTTTTTTTTTTTAACCTTCTAACACTTCAATTCCACTCTCTCCCTGTTTGTCCTTGCAGCATAGCGTAGTGGTGAATAAGATAGATTTATGCAAATCTCATCTTTGCGACTTACCAGCTGAATGGACTAGCGCAGGTTGCTGGACCCTTGAAGCAAGGACTGCTGGAAGATCAAATGTGCTTGTGCATGTGAAATGCCTCTTTAAAACAATCAAATAAATATCCTCTATAACAAAAAGTTTTGTGTGAAAGTTAATGCAACATGAAATCACCCTAAGTCACCTCTTCTTTGCCTCTGGTAACCTGGGTCTTTTCTTTATAAACATTATCCACTTTAAAATAATTTTACTCGTTTAATTTTGACCTTTCTAATGTCATTCTATGCTTGAAGCATCACTTTTGAAGACACATCATAAAGAATTTCATTTTATTCAGTTTTGGGTTTCCTTTAATGAATATGCATTAGCTTTATAAGAAGTGTCTCTTTTTGTGGTAAGAAAGGTCAGATGAGCAATAAAAATAAGACATAAAATGATCTATAACATCAATATACATTTCATTAAAAGTCCACCAGTTCCTGGCATTAAATAATACACACTGTGTTAGGTACAGAAGATCTGGCCTTTCAGTTTCTGAGTTATGTATACATTGTAAGGTTCAGGTGTGAGAATGTCTTCCTCCGGGCAGCTCCCAGACAACACCTGGCATTTCCTCTGCTCAGCTACTTTCAAGTGCTATGTCCTTACGTACAGAGGGGTGGAAGCCTAGTCCAGCTGCAGAGGGGCTATTCCAAACCTGGAGCCTACCAGACATTTCCCCTGCCCTCTAGAGCTATGAAAATAGCACCAGCACCCTACCCTAAAAGGGTTGACAAGTTAGTCTCCAGGAACGTTCTGCATACAAGTGAACATATTCAGTTAGTCAAATGCACTGGAAGCTAATCTTTTGTATGACTTACATGTTGTCCAACTTTTTGACATATATGCAAAATTTCCCAAGAACAGTTAATAAACACAACACAAGCATAGTTTCTCACAAAGAGCAGTAACATTCTTTAGCTAAGAGATCCTTGCTTTATTGTGATAACTGGGTCCAAAAAGGAAAGATGATCTGGAAAATTTGGGGGAGAAGATTGGGGAAAGCTGCCAAAAATATGAAGATTTAAAAAAATGTTGAGAATCAGTAGAGAGAGAAATAAGTAATCAGAGCTAAATAATCAGAGCCATGATCCTTCCAACCGATGGTGCTTTTATTTGAAATAGGTACTGATAGCATCAAAGCTATTTGTTGAAAGTCCACTATGCCCAGGGTACTGAGTTAGGTGCAATATTCTGTAAAAATCATGCCCTTCCCCTCAGTGAGCTTGTTGTCAGAAAGAGTGCACAAGATGCACACATAGAACTTCAAATAGAAATGATGTTGATTAGCAACCAGAGGAGGTGACCTTTGAATTTGAATAGGAGGTCAGATTTTTAACTTGTGGATAGTGAAGGAAAGAACAATACAGATAGAAAGATATAAAAACAATAACAACAACGGAAAACACATTGATGTATAAAAGCTTAAACAGGTAAGGAAAACTGCCAATTTACCTAAATAGGATACCTAATGGAGATTAACAGAAAATGGGTTAAAAGGAAGCAGGGACACATCAGGGTTAATGTCAGTGTGATTTTATTTGGAAGACAGTGATGAGATGCTGAAGGTAAGGGAGTAACATAATCAGAGCTCTGCACAACATAATTTCCCAAGGATGCATAAGGTAAATAATATGTACAAGAGACCAACAGAAATGAAACCATCAGAGGGTTGTTGGGCCCAGTGAAGGTGGTAATAAGAATCTGCAGAGAGTGGGTTGAGGTGTATCTGTAGGACAGAGGTGGGTAGGATGGGCAATAGAAGGCTGAGGAACCAACAATAACCCTTACGCTTTAGGCCTGGGTAACTGGAAGGGTGGTGGGACCACTAACAGAGACGGGTAACTCAGGTTTAGCAGGAAGATGATGGATTCCATATGTTGAATGTGATGCTCCAGTAGAAAACCTGGGTGATGCTGTTGAGAACAGAGTGAGAAGTATACAGCTGGAGCTCAATAGATAGATCATGGTTTGGAAGTTACCTAAATAATGAAGATAGAAGAAGAAATTCATAGGAAAGGACTAGATTGTCAGGAAAGACTTGAGGAGAGAGACGAGAGGATGGGGAAGACAGGCCACTGATATGTCAGTTTTCTAGGGCTGCCACAACAAATTACCACAACCTGGGTGGCTTAAAATGACAGTAATTTATTTTCTCACAGTTCTGGAGGCTAGATATCTGAAATCCAGGGGTCCACAGGGTCATGCTCCCTCCAAAGATTCTAGGGAAGAATCCGTTCTTCTTTAATCTGTTAATCCATCCTTCACTAATGATGCTAAATAAAATAAACCAGGGACAGAAAGACAAATACTGTACAACATCACCTATCTTAAAATGTTGAACTCAGAGAGAGTAGAATGGTGGTTTCCAGGGTTGCGGTCTGGGGGAATTGCGGAGATATTGTCCACAGGATATAACTTACAGTTGTAAGATGAATGAGTTTGGGGATCTAATGTACAGCATAGTGACTATGGTTAACAATACTGTGTTGTTTACTTAAAATTTGCTAAGGGAGAAGATCTTAAGTAAGTGTCCTCAAAACACATACAAACACACACACATAATGGTAACTATATGTGGTGATGGATATGTTAATTAATTTGATGGTAGTAATAATTTCAAAACATATACATATATCAAATATGTTGTACACCTTGAATACATGCAATCCTTATCTGTCAATTAAAATACGTATGTTTTAAATCTATCTTTGCCTCTTCTGGTTTCTGGTAGTTGCTGGCAATCCTTAGCACTCTTTGACTTGTGGCAGCATAACTCCAAACTCTTTTTCAGTTTTCACAAGGACTTCTTCAGAGTCTGTTTCTAGGTCTATGTACAAATTTCTCTCTTATCATAAAAATAGGAGCCATTGGATTAGGGTGTATATCTAAATTTATACCCCAAATAGAAGATGCATATTCATTTTACATACACGAAACATTTATTTTAAAAAAGTGTAACTAGCTCACAAAACAAAATTTTAAGAAATACTAAAGAATGTGTATTATGAAATTGTGCTGCCTGAACAAAATGAAGTAAACTTGGAAATCAAAAACAAATACAAATAAAAATTTTAGAGCACCTCTTTGAAAAATGTTTATATCAAAGAAGTCACAGTGAAAATTAACCTTTAACCTTTAGAATTAACTGACAATGGTAAGAGTGAACATCAATACTTGGGGAATGTGGCCAAAGTAGTAAAGGAATATATTACCTTAAATATTAGAATACAAGAATGACTGGAGAGCAATGAAGTAAATCAGAATATGAATAAGAGATTAAAACCAAAAAAGTAGATGACAAAAAATAATAAAAGTAGACAATTATTCTATTTTCCCATCTACCCAACTCTTTTTTAGGGATACTAGAATATCAGGAATAAGAACTGAGTCCAACAACAAGGATCCTGGGATTTCTTTGCAGAGTACAAGATTTCTAAAGACAAAACGATTTCAGCATAATTTGGAAGAAGAAACCTCAGGCATTGAAACTGAACAGAATAATTAAGTGATTTCCTATAAGGATGATGTTTCCATACTGGCTTGCCTTAAAAAGCCAATTATAACTTCCAAACTGTACAACTATCTGGAGACATAAATGTAAAATTAAAATAACCTTTCAGGCCACATCTAAAATGTAAAGTACATGGAAGAAAGTGAAATTTATATTAGACTTTTTACATTTTCTAGGACTTGTGGGGAATTATCAGGGCTCTCAATGACTCCGTATTCTCTGTCCTAAATAAATGACAAAAGACACCAGACCCAAGACTTTCTATCTGTAAAATACGTCAGCCTCCAAGGCAGATATACTTGGGTAATGGTGCTTTATATTTCCAACAGGCAATGGGAGAGAAAAGCAAGGACCAGGGTCCAGCTCCATTGCAAACAGCATCATATCACAGCATGATTGCTCAGCCACACAGAACCTCGCACACTCTAGCAATCAGCAAAACAACATAGATGACGCAGACAAAATAGCTATCATAACATCTATTTGCTAAAGATGATACATTTTAATTTGGAAAGAATTTTAGTTCTTTACTTAAACCTCTCCATTTGACATATTAGCCAAAAACATTCTCTTTCATATGCTGCTTTATTGCTTTAAATGCACTTCTAAAATCAATTAATTTAAGTTATTTTAATTATTATAATCCTGCTCCCCCACTAGACTGCCTCCAGATTCAATTAACACATCAGATGTTAATTCTCCATTATGAGACTGCTCCCCCTAAGACTATGAGCACCAGGAGGGAGAAATACCGCCTAATGCATTGGGGCAACAGCAGCACTGTGCATAGCCCATGACCATTGCAGGCACTTAGGTTTGCTGCAAAATGAAGAAAATGTGGAAAAAAAGGAGTGACGGAAGAAAAGAGAAACAAGTAGTAAATTATGAAAGGGAAAGCAATTAGGATTAGAGGCAAATAGCCTAGAAGAAGCAAAAAGTGATAATTTGCAGTCCTATATTGGAAGAGCAGTCAGAAAAAATAGAGAAGGTAAAAATAATAATTCTAAAATTATAGCATTTGGATTGTTTGGGATTTTTCTTTGTTTGATTACAACTGTCCTTACCAAAAATTATGCTTAGAATGTGAGAGAAGGATTTCTGAAGGCACAAGATATGTAAAATCCACGTTTACACAGGTTAACTATATTTTCCCTCTATAAATTAGTCCGCAAACAGCTTCACTTTAGATATGATGGAGCTACAGCGTGAATGTGTCCCCTAACATTCAATGCATTGGAAACGCAATTCCAATGTACCTAAAAAGAAGTGGTTAGGTCATGAAGGCTCTGCCCTTGTGAATAGATTAGTGTTGCTATGGCTGAAGTGGGTTAATTACCATGAGAGTGGGCTTGTTATAACAGAGAGTTTGAGCCTTTCTTGCTCTCCTGCTCTCTTGAGCTCTCTTGACCACAGGATGACACAGCATGAAGGCCCTTGCAAGATGCCAGCACTTTGATATTGAACTTCTCAGACTTCAGAACCTGAGAAAGAAATTCTTTACCTGTGGTATTCTGTTATAGCAACACAAAGAAAACCAAGATGCAGGGAAACATTATTTATAACACAGCCTATTTGCTGATGTCTCCAGATAACTATAAAATAAGGCAGAAAGAATGTCCTTTAAGACTTAAAAGGCTTCAATAAGAATTGAAGAATTGCTGAGACAATAGAGGACAGAAAAAGCTAGTGTTTATATCCATAAACGTGTATCAGCTGGTTCATTTTCTTTCAAATGCTCTTTGTACTTAGAAATAAACTTGTGGGATAGGTAGAAACCTTTTCCTTGTCTCAAAAACTGCCTAAAATGACAAATGAGTTCATGTGAATGGCATTCTACTCAACAACATTTGATAATGGGTATTGGATATTTATGATTATGTGACTGTGCAGAACCATATAGCTGGCCCTATCCTAAATGCCTGGTGTTAAATCACAAATCTTAGCTCATTAAACACTTGAGCTGTGAAGATGACTGGCAGCTCCCTGCTCAAAATGAGCTTCATGAAGAATTATTTACTAAACCCCAATAGCCAGCGTATGACAACAGCTCATCACTGGTCTGCATATCCTAGTTATTATTTTTTGAGTTTCTGGAATGTTTCACTTTTGTGCTTGGGAGGAGCAATATTTATAGCACAAAATACATTATTTCCTTGTCACTTGACAAATAGAGTGTGGAATATGGATTGCTGGAAAGAGAGAAACATTTTTTAGATTAAAAAGGTACCAGATGACAAATATGAAACAGACAACCTTGTATGACACATTGCCCTATCCACAGGTGATAGTGCTTTTTTATTGAGAACCAACCATATGGTAGGCCCTGTGCAAAAGTTAAGAGACTTGTTCAAAATGGCATAGTTTATACATGCCAGAGGCAGAATCTAAATAAATCTGAAACTATCTAATAATAAATATTTTTTAATACATTCCCAACTTTCATTTTGGTTTATCCTTATGACAATCCTGGAATTAAGCAGAGCAATCATTGTATTCATGTATTCAATCACCCATCCATGCATTGATTTATTCATTCAACAAACATTTACTGTGTGTCTGCTATGTGTTAGTCATTATGCTTTAATGGATACAGAGACTGAGATCCAGAAATTGAGTCTTATGAATGAGATTCTTCCTTTCATTCTTTCTATTGTTTGTGTTTTTCAAAATATCCTATGTTGATTATCTACATTCAATCCAGAGTAAAGCAATTAAATTATTCAGGCATCTGTATTGTCCTAGAATGTTTTCATGAGAGACACAATGTTTTGTAATTCATCAGCCTGAATAATAATAGCAGGCCTCACTAATGAGGAGCAGTAGACTGATGCTGCATACAAATGGTGCTTCCACTTTTACTATATGCAATATGGGATTGATTATGGTTTGGGAATTTATATAGACAGAATGTATCTTGGTGACAGCACCACCCGAAAACTAAAAAGCTACTTCCTCTTACATAATTTCCCAATGGATAGGTTATCATTTGACTTCTTCCAAACACCTCTCTCTTTTAGGAAGCTGATTAATGTCATAAATCTAAGGACTATAACAATGAATCAAAAGCACCTACTGAGTGTTTAGCCTGGTGCAAAGTACTCTATGGTAAAAAAACAAGTATTAAACACAGTCTGGGTAGTAAGATCCTCTAATGACCTGAATTATGGATGATTCAGGTCTGTGATCTAAGAAGAATGAGGGAAAGAAAAAATGAAAATGGCCAGAATATCAACAACAACAAGAGTGGTCACTGGAGGTTACAGGACAGCAGGGCTGTCGGGGCTAGAGAGTATTAAATCAAGGAATAGATATTGAGTAAACTCAAAGGAAAAACTTGGTATTTTTAATTTGAAAAGAAAGGATTTGCTACCTTAGAGGGTGTCAACACCCAAGCCACAGCTAGGTGTCCTGGGAGGAGGACACATAGTGTCTCCCTTTCCTTGCAAGGGGTGAACCTGGGTTTTTTCATGCTCATCACAACTGCTCACATTTTGAAGTGTTTAAGAATCTGGATTTTCTGATATCTGCCTTTTATCTGTTTATGTGACATTTCATGAATATTTTTCTAGAAATGGACCTTTTATATGTTTCTTTCTTTATTATTATTATTATTTAGAGATGGGGTCTTGCTCTTTTGCCCAGACTGGAGTGCAGTGGCGCAATAGCTCACTGCAACCTTGAACTCCTGGGCTCAAGCAATTCTCCCACATCAGCTTCCAAAGTGCTAGGATTACAAATGTGAGCCATTATGCCCGATCATGGCCTTTACATTATGACACTCCATTTAGTTTCTGCCTTTTGTTAAATTGTAAATACGCCGTTCTATTTAAAGTGTTCAAACTGTACCAACATATATTAAAATAGGTACAGTCAATGGGCTTTTAAGTAATCTCAAAGTCTCTGTGATCATATCTCTCCTTATGAGATACTTCCTAAGAAGTATTATATTCGTGATTTTCAAAAATGATAAATTGGGGTGAAAGGCTGTGAAGATGGTGGGTGGTGAACTTTATATCAGGAGTCCAGAACTTAAATTTTAGTGTCATCAGAAAAAATCGAGCTCATCTAGGGCAAACCT